TTAATTTCTCCTTATGCTTCTTTGTGGTGGTGAAAAGGTGAGATCAGACCTGTTTATTTTAGGATCAGACTCAGATGTTTGTACGTCTTAAGGTCATTATAAAATTCAAATGGGAATTTAGTTTTACTTAAAAGGAAACATTGATCAATGTTATTAGTCTAAAAAGTTCAACTCTCTAACTGTTGTACAAACTACATTTTACTACAAAATGGTATTTATCTTCTATCTAAATTACACTATTGACAAATCTGTTGTTCACTTATGACTAGAGTATGTTTAAGACACGCAGGGGGGAGTGTGCTGCACTGTTAATGACTCCTCAAGTGTAGTAGTACTGCTTCCTTGAACTTGTCGGCCTCTGGGTTTTGGGTATGGCCTGGGAAAGTGTATTCCAATCTCTGACAGTCTGAGGGAAGTACTCGTAGGAGTATCTGTAACATGTCTTTGTGGAATGGGAGTGACTTGCAAATAGACCCATTCGACTTTCACGGATCGCAGTAACTGCTTACGTCACAGGGGGGACATTTCAAATAAAAATTACATCACAGGACATTTCGAAAGTTCCTTTCACGGATCGCATAAACTTTATATGTCACAGAGCAAAATAACCTTAAATTGTTGTACGGAATGCCACCATACAAAGTTGGTGCCTGTTTTCCTGTCTGCATATATTACCGAGAAAATAGACACTTACCTACCGTTTAATAAAAAAATGATCTGCCAGCGGGGACACCGCGAGCGCAAGCCGCGTTCGACCTAAGCGCTCTAGAACGAATTTCTTTCGAAATGGCCCCCCCTGTGACGTAGGCAGTGTATGTGATCCGTAAGAGTCAAATGGGTCTATTGTGGGAACACGGGTTTGAGTGTCGCAATTGGCCGCACTAGCAGTGCACCCTGGGCGGAATGCCTCAGTAGGGACTTTGCCCAGTATTGTGTAGAATACTGTAGATGTTGATGAAAAGTGAACATGACCTTGAAGCCTGTCACTTCAGATTTACCCTCATGTTGCTCCTATGTCTGAAGTAAGTTGATCTTTGATCTCAGGTCCAGCCAGGCTGTACTCCTCCAAGGATAACGAGACACCTTGGACAGATGTGAAATATGACGAACTCAAGGCCCTGATCAAGTCAGGTGGGTGGGGAATTCTCTGCACGACTTATATAAGAGTTCTGTCATGAAAGTTCATCTGTGTTGGTAGTTACATGTTTAAAGTTAAAACTTTTGGTCCAACACAAAAAATTCTCTCACCTAGAGCTTTCGACCAGTCACTCTGGTCTTCCTCACTTGACACTGTAAGGATTTTAGACACTGAACAAGACTATTTCTTGAGAGGGGTGAAAGAAGCCATTTACATCAGGGCCCATCACCCTACATTGAACCGCGACGGGGGCCCACATCGTCTACCAGATACCTTTGACCCAGTGTACGTATGTTGACGTCACACTTCAAAGAAGCCATGTGACAAGCTTCACTGGGTCAGTGTACTGAGGAAGACCAGAGTACTTTTATTAGATTTTGAAGATTTGTCCGGGGGGGTACTTCTATTCCAGGGGGTACTTTTATTCGAGAGGTGAGAGTAACAACTCCTGCAATTAAATGTGCAAAGATTGTGTGTAACAAGTCGTTCGGTGTGATATAGCTAGCAGCAGCCGCGCCACGTGTCTGCGAATTTTCAAAGCTGGTGTGTTACGCCGAAGGGCGGTTATACCGGCTATACTAATACAAATACAGATAATGAAAGAGGTGCTAGTGTCATGGAAAACAAACCTACAGTGGATGTCACTGGAAGACGATGAAAAACGTCCAGACTATGCACGATGTACAAACTACCGGTAGTAATAAACAGGTGGATGTAAGTAGTACCAACTACTAAGTACCTAATACTCCGCCAAAAAAGAACAAGATAAAGTCATGCCTTCAGGTACCAGAGTTATCAACCAAGGATTGAGGTCTTCAAAAAGTCTTTTTTTCCCCAGAAACATATCAATATTATAGAGTGGAATTTGGTGCCACCAAGTACAGTTGGGGCAGCATCACTTCTAGTAGATATAGCTCTGTTAGCTCTGCAAAGGTTAGGTGTAACAAGTGGTTTGGTGTAATGTAGCCAGCTACCACCGTGCCGTGTGCCTGCGAAGCTGGTGTATTATATGCCGAGGGGACAGTTATACAAATACAGATGCAGACAAATACTAGAAATTCATATGTATTGACTGCTACTCCATCTAAACATCACAAGTAATCCTCGAGGTCATTTATTCTACTTGACCTTGACAGGCCATGTCCAGCTGATCGATGTGCGAGAACCCGAGGAGATCGCCAGCACTGGTCTCCTTCCCGGGGCAATCAACATTCCCTGTGAGTATTTAGAACTCTTTTCCTGGAATTTGAACTGCTCTCCTTCCCAGGTTACTCAGAGACATGTAGAACACTTTTTCCTGGAATTTGAACTGCTCTCCTTCCCAGGTTACTCAGAGACATGTAGAACACTTTTTCCTGGAATTTGAACTGCTCTCCTTCCCTGGTTACTCAGAGACATGCAGAACACTTTATTTGGTTGTTACTTAAATGTATCAAATATGAACTTTACAGAAAAGTAAAAAGACGATGTTTGGGTGGGGGTCAAGATGGGAATAGCGATTTTTGTACACCCCTAGTTACTAGTGCTTCTGCAGCCTATGTACCCAATGATAGGCTATGGGATACTAGTATTAGTAAGTAAGTTCTACTTCTTAAAAATTGTAGAGCTGGCCTACTGGTCAATAGCACTGGTTGACCAGAAGCCCGAAATGCCCCCAAAGAAATCTGCCTGGACATTAAGCAATTACCCATCTACAGATATCTTCAGTCATTGTTTTTTGGAGTTTGCGTGTGTCCTTGCTCCAAGTTGCCCTTTTTGTCAGGGACTTCTTGTCTAACAGGCTACATGGTTAACCTTGAACCTTCTGGTGCCCCGTAACTAATAGAACCGGTAGCCAAATGGCTACAGTATGTACTTTTGTGTGCTAAAGGTATGGACTGACTTGTAGTGCTGTGTATCCTTCTTTTAATGACTCCCTCTAGACTGGTAAACTTTGACATGATTGTAGTATGTGCGTATGTCTGGTAATTATTTCCTGTGGCTCCATATTAACTGTTGAACCATGAATACATTCGTGAGTAAGAGTAAGAGTAAGACTCCCAGTGTGACATATTGTATAAATGTCATACATGTGCACACTTATGTAAGGACTCCCCATGGCATGATGTTTTGTTGGACCAAGATACAGTTGTTACACTGCATATTCTTCTGTTGATGACTCCTTTGTGCCTTAACATTACCTGTATGTAATTGTATGTATGTTCGAACTGGGAAAATTAGTATCGACTGCAAATCTCACCCTTGTGCTGTGTTTAATTACTGTATGATTGTAGCATCCTGGGCTGTTTTTCATTGAATGTTGTGCCATTCTATGTATGATACATATCCAAGGACACTATACAATTGTCGTACCCTGGGCTGTTTTTCATCACATGTTGTGCCATTCTATGTATAAATATATATATATATCCAAGGGCATATATCACAATGGCACTATATATATAATGTCCTTCCCTTGAGGTATCCTAGAAGATGAGTTAAAAGTAACCTTGTAGGTGCTGAACTAAGTTTGAGTTACTGAAACTGCTTCCCTTCTCTATAAGTATAAGTCAGAAACATGATGAATTACAAGCTTAACTCACAGTCACAGAGAGTGTGTTTGGGATGTACATGTAATACATAGAACCAATCCACACACAGAGATTTCTGACAACATAACTCCATATGGACTAAGATATGACAAGAATATAAGTATTGTTATAGCTACAGGGTGGCTAATATACATATTGTGATAGTGATACACACAACATGCAAGACAGCAAAATGTATAGAAATGTCCTATTTTACTCTATGTAGACTAGAATAGAATGTGCTATGAGTATCATATAATAGGTAAGATTGATAAACATCATGTAGAACTGATACACAGATATTTAGAAATGTCCTAGTTAGCTCCATATGTGGACTATAATACTAATAGAACATGCTATGAGTAGTATAGTTTGGGCCACATGAAACTTTAACAGAATCATACATATTATGTCTTCATGGTTAACCCTATGTATACTGTGTGTTCTACAAACAGTGGGGAGACTGCACCAGGCTCTAAACTACATGTCAGACCAGGCTTTTCAGAGCAAGTACCAAATACCGCAGCCCAAGAAGTGGGACAATAATATCCTCCTGTACGGACAGGACTTTGACAGTGTTCGGGCCAGTGCCGCACTGGAACTCTTACATAAGTGGGGGTTTATCAAGTGAGTTACAGTAGTAAAGGGCACGGTCACATATACGTTGTGTGATTGTCGTACAATTGCAAACTGAGGCCATTCTTGTAATAGTCAAATCTGTGTTGTAGTACTAGTACATCATCATCATGTGTCATGAAATAAATACAAGACTTACCCCAAATTTTCAGCTAACTCCTTCAATTTTGATCACAGAATGGACCCGTCTACTCTTTGAACGTGACAAGGGGCGACACAAGTTATCTGGTACATAAGACCCACTACTATACGGTCACATGTCTCTGACCTTATGTTCCAAGATTAGAGTCCATTCCATGAACAAGGTTGAAGGAATAAGTTGAAAATTTGGGGTAAGTCCCAATTCATTCCAGTGTTGGGAGGAAAGTTAGGTCTTTAGTTTATGATGACTTGTACCAACACAGATGAACTTTCATGCTAAATCATCATGTGTTGTACAAAATGGTTCTGTCACTACCTGCATGAAAATACCATATGTACGCGAATATACTAAGACTTAAAAATTCTACAAATGAAAATTTCACTGTTGTCCAACTCAGAAAAGAATTTCGACTGAATCTCTCAACAGCCATCTAATCTAAGTCAATTCCAGTGAGCCAATTTCTTTTTGAGTTGGAGAACAGTTTTTAAAATTCTCATTCTGCAATTTATAAAATAAATTTACTGCGAATCAAAATTGTACGACCATCTACAACGAATGTGACCATGCTTAAAAGAACAAATCACTGTGACTAGTGCTGTTTTGAAATTGATTTTTTCTCTGATAACACAGTGAACAGACTACACATTGACTGAAGATGCCTGAGGAAGAGTTCAAGGGAAAAATATGGGGTGGACAAGCCGGGAAAGGACAATCTCATTCTCCACTGTTTGGGTGGTATCCGCAGCCGCGGGGCCCTCGCTATCGCACATTCATTGGGATACGAAAAGTAGGGACCTTTCCATTACTTGCCCCCTGATAGTGGTGACTTGACTACCTCATTCTTTACTACTCAGTTCCAGTCTTGAGGAATGGTAACCTGTATACCATCTTTGACTTTGTTTCCAATATTAACAATGAAGCCAAAGGTGGTATTCAGGTTACTATATGATTTGTTATCTATAACAAATCTTTCATTCTACAAATTGTTTCAGTTTTAATAGTTCTGTTTGTTCCGTCTTGATATTGCTAATGCACTTTTTCTGTTCTGAGACTGTAAAAAATAATTGAAACATAGAAATTTTTGCATGAAAAAGATTCTCAAATTACTGTATTCTTTACTTGTAGTAGCATGGAGAGGTCTCTACTAAAATTCTTTTTGATGGGACCCTGTAGTTTTTATAAATGAATGCTTCTTTTGGTGTTGGACTCGGTTTGTTGAAGGCATCTTTAGGGCATGTTGTAGCATGTTCATTGTTGACTTACGAGAGGCACTTTGCATGATATAGAACTAGTGCTGTGTACCGGTTTGCTGGACTGGTTCCAGACTTGTGTTTAGGTTCATGTCTAAAAAAACTAAAAGTCAAGAACCGATTCCGGACTTATTAAAAAAAAAGCCATGTCACATACTCCTAAAACCATCCATAGATTGCAAAATCTGTGCTACAAAATGATGAAAACATTGCCTTTGGGCATCATCAAGTGTTGGCCTCCATGTTATGTGTCCACAGTTTTGCCCATACAACATCGCAAGGTTGCCAACATGTAATTTTGTATATGCCATGGGTTTAGGTCCGACTTACGAGTCTGGAACTGAACCTAAACCTCTGGACTTGAATCCGGACCTTAACCTAAATGTGGGTTTAGGTACACAGCACTACTGAAGAACAATCATCACACAACACTAATTAATATATAATAGTTACTCAAGCAACCGGATATGATTTTGGAAATGGTCAGACATTTAGGTAGCATCTACTACTTTTGTCAGTGACTCTATCTGCTACCTGAAACTTCTGACCGTTTCCAAAATCATATCCAGTTGCCTGAGTAACTGTTTTTTTGTGTATCTTATTACCTGTATGTCTAACCTTCACCAAAGTATACTTAGGCCACAGCAAGTAAATTTTATGGATGACATCCTCCACAGACTCCAAACCTAATGCGAGCGGGCGAAAAAAAAACAAGGCGGGCTGAAAAAAACAAGGTTCCTACATTTTAACATTTTGACTCAATCATTGTACAAATGGTTTTGATTCAGTAGGAACATCACATATACACAGCCAACATCACATATCACTGCATCGAAGTAAGAAACAAAACATTAAATCAGAGCAATTTCTTGTCTCCTCTCTTCATATTTATCTGCCATCCACCTTCTGGCATGGCAACAGACATCTTTGCCCATTTTCGGTATGTTTACCACTGTCAGAAGGCAAAAAAATATCTTTTTTTTTTCCAAAATCAAGCGAAAATTAATGCGCGCGCTGATGTCATCCATAAAAATTACTTGCTCTGTGGCCTTACGACAGTTTTGTTTTACACACAGCAACTGCAAGATATCACAGACAACTTGGCCATCTCTTTAATCAATCATGAGCCCTTTCTCTGAACTTCCAATTCCACAGTTGAAGATTTTTTACCCTTCCACTCCCCCAGCGAAAATTTGTTAAGATTGAGAAACGACCTTGTTCAAAGTCAGAAAGATAAATGTAGCACACTAGTATCCTGGGGGTTCCAAAATGCTCTCCTGACAAATTTACAAAAGGTAGATCTTAATTATGTGTCACAGTGTAGGAGTGATCAATGGCTTTTCTGCCAGACACAGTTTAAAACTTGGTTCCTCTGGGCTATCGTAAACAGTAGATAGCAAATGAATTTGTCATACCGGTACACTTTTTCCATACTCAGTAGTATTGACCTTGGATACTTAGACTACATGGCCTTGAACTGGCTGGAAATCAATATGTTTAGACCTCTAACTGTCTGGGTCCGAGGAAAATTACTGTAACGTAGTTGTGTTTTGGTTTTCAGTCCTGAAAAAAGTAGTTTCCATAGGTGGTGATTTTATTCTTTTTTAGCCTTTTTTTCAGATTTCAGCTGAAATGATTCAACAAATAAAGTTGGGAACATGAACAAACAAAGAAATGGCATTGGGACTGTCTGAAGGATCCTTATTTGCTTGTGGAGAAAAAGTTCACCCAATTTACTGAAGAAAAAATTGCTTCCAAAAACTCATTCCATTTTTGTTAAATGATTCAGATTTTTTTACATTCAGATGTCAGATCAAACATTTTATACCCTTACTAGAGGTCATTACAAAACTTTTGCAATGGTCAGTCGGAAAAATGGAAACACAACATTTTTTCCCACACCTGCATGCACCCCAATTCAACATTGTTTATTGTGTGGAATCTTACATGTAGGTGACAGTACGAATTTATTTTTGTTTTGTATTTTTATTAGGGCACGCCACTACATCGGTGGGTATGCAGAGTGGGCAACAAAGCAGCAGAGTTAATCGGAAGAGTGATTCTTTGGAGGCCATACAGGATGACTGGATGGTTTTGTTGACTTTCTTTCAACAGAAAAAGAGGTGTCAATGTCTGCCTTCACTACATTGGAAGGAAAACTCCATTTTTTGTGTTCTAGTGGTAATCTCTGCCAAACTTACATAAATAGTCACACCTAAGTTGACCATGAATAAGTTTCTTTGTTGCATAACTCCAAATGTACATCAGCAGGGGGAGCACAAATGCTTCCTCTGAATTGGGTACAATTGTCAACACTAAGAAACAATACATGAACATCCAAAAAAGTATATACAAATTAAGACACATACAAAATTATTGAAATATACACAATGTTGCCATACCATTTCTAACAATGACGATATTTATGATTTTTTCTTCTCAGAGGACTAACAGATATACACAGGGTGTTTTGTTGCCATTCTCTATGAGATTAAATAGTGTACATTATTGATAATTTAAATGTATGAAACCCATTTTCAAAATTTCAAGGGCTCTGATCCAAAGTTGTGCATAGCACTCTAGTTGTGTGTGTGTGAGAAATTTTTAGTTGTCATGCCTGCAAGCATCAACAAAATGTCATTTCTGTTGTTTTTTTCACAAATATTTGAACATGTATGGGTATAGAGCTATTTTACTGCTTTTGCAAGGGACTACACAGTTCTAGCATCTCTCCACAGATTAAAAGACTTGCATAAGAAGGTTAACAAGATGACATGCTTTGCTACAATGTTTTTAACCTCCTTAGCCAGTATAATGAATGGGACATGTTCAATCCTACACTTAGTGCATGAACATTTCAACATGCTTTAGACTCACCCTCCAGTTGACACTACTGACGCACATGGTTCATCCTATAATCCTATGATGGATTGCGAACACCACGATTGAACAAACAGATTCCCAACTGTATTGATTCTGTTGTCATTCAAATGAACCATCATTTGACAGCTACAGTTTGTAAGACTTAAACGTAGAACTAACAACCCAATCTCTTCCAGCATAATCCCAATACAAGTACGTGAGTACTAATCTCCAAGCAGATCATAAGGTGGCAAGGCAGTATGATCTGCTTGGGGGTTACGTGAGTAGGTCTTGTTCTAAAAGCTCAATAGCACGAGCTGTTTGGCTTTGCAAATGCTAAAGACAGCATCCTTGAACTAACTTGAAACTAACAACCCAAACTCTTTCAGCATTCGCTATACATGTACCTGAGTACCTCTTGTCCTAAAAGCTCAATACCATGAACTGTTTTGCCTTAGCAAATGCTAAAGACAACAAAGAAGTTGAGACTAACAACCAAAACTCTTCCAGCATTCCCAATACATGTACATGATTAAGCCTTATCTTAAAAGCTCAATACCATGAACTGTTGTGTATATGGCGTAGCTAATGCTAAAGACAGCATCCTTGAACTAACTTGGGACTTGTAGTACATACAAGGGTCACTAATCGTAGATAAACATTTTGTATAGTTTTGTGACCAAAACAGAATTGACGTACCTCTGGTCAATCTGACAGGTGTTTGTTGTATTGACTTCATGATACAAGCTAGTGATAATTTATGATAATTAATTATGACATAGTGTTTGATTTCCTTCTTCAAAATATCAATCTTATTAATCCCATAGTCCTTGACTCTTGATTGATGATTCAAAGGTTTTCTCTGGGTAATTTGATACAGTAACAGATTTATTAATTATATAATAAATCCCAGTCTTATGTATAGGCTTAAGATGTTTTTAATTGCAGGTTTTGTCACAGTTAGGCCATGTTGATTTGATTATATGGATGACATCCGCGCGCGCATGAATTTTCGGCCGTTTCCAAAAAAAAAGAAGTTTTCAACCATACTGTAAATCGTACAAAACAGTTGAAAAATGAGCAAAAATATACCATAAGTTACAAAAACAATTAATAAAAACTATACCAATGTCGTAGAATGCCAAAATCAAACGAAAAAAGACGAAATTGTAAAGAAATTAATTTGAAGACTAGATTATTCGCCAAACCATATTCTGTGCCATTTGCTTAACCCGAATGACCACGTAGATTTCATAATGAAAAGAACTTTTTTTTTTGCAAAACTTTTTTTTTATTCGCACGCGCGCGTCAGTTTTGGGGCTCCCGGAGGATGTCATCCATATAATCAAATCAACATGGCCTTACTGCACCTAAAGTTTCCTTGTCGCAACAGTTTTCCTTTACCCTAATAGAATTCTCACTTACTCTTCGTTACTTGTTTTGTAAGTTTAAACAAAGCATCCTTATCTGGTTTTGTGGAAAGTGTTTCATCAATACATATTCACCTGTCTCTTTCACATTCAATTCAGTGCTCAGTGACTTAACTACTTCTTATCTAAGGCAAGTTGAATGGCAAGAGCAGAAGCTCTGCATAAGTATAGTCAACTCTAGATCTGTGTTTACAACCTTTTTGCATTTTTGGGCATCAGCAGAAAAGAACATCACTGCCTGAAATCCACTGTTAGAACACTTAAAATATGCTTAAACGTTCTGTTTTGAGACAGTTTAATTTGCTATTAAGTACGCCTGCTTATATTTAGGCAACATTTAAGTTTCTCCATAAAGGTACGTAGTGGCACTCATTTAAGTAATTTTAAACACTGTAAAGCAAGCTTATATCATAATGTTTACACTGCATATAGGCGCCGTAAAGCATCCTTAAATATGTGAGACACGTTCCTTTAAGGTGTCCGTAAAGTGTCCGTAAAGCATACAGTACGTAGTGGTCTTTACGCACTCGATTGATGCGATTGGGGCTAGTAAAGCGATATAACCGTTCATTTTCCACCCGAACGGTTGTAACTTTGAAACTGATCCCTTTGATACACATGCAGTTAAAAGATAATTTACATGCATCTTCAGTTGGGAAGGTGAAACCATATCCACATATTTTCCTGTTATCCCATTCAGCAGCTTGTTGACCTTGTGCCTGCTAATGGAGTGTGACCGATGTGTGAAAGCCAGGTTCATCAGATAACGCTATCTTTCTTTGGGGCGAAGAAAGCCTGGCATTGCCGGTGACATATCTTTAAGTGATCTAGACTTGTCTTTGTGTTAAGTGATCATTCATAATCATACTGGTGGCCTATCTAAAGTGTGGTATCAATGTATCATACATATTGGCCTAAAAAGGCTTTGAAGCATGTTCAAAGTGCATAAATTCAATCATCTGCAATGCTTTGGTCACTTACATCACCTGTACATTATTCAGTACCTTTCTACGAGTATTACTGGCTGCATGCATTCCCTTAATTTTTCTTTCGGATTCGGCTTCCGCTTTTCCCAGAAATTGGTTTCTCTTTAACAGATTTTCTCGGAAAAGCTGACGATTACGCTCCTAACGGAAGTCCACGAAAATTGACTTTTTGTGTCGTCCTAAAGTTACATAATGCAGCTTTAAAGGAGCACCGAAATCACTTTATATTTGCGTTGCATTGAGGAATTGTAAAGGGCATTTGGAGAGTTTTAAGAGTGCTGATGCCTTTTTTGTGCTCGGTTAGTGGGTATTTTGTAGTTCCTAAAATTATCATTTATTGGAAAATGATCCATACCTATGGTATAGAGTAAAACATTTATAAACAAGAATTCAGAGATCTCATACCTCCATGAAATATATGAGTTTTTCTAAATGTTTCTACACAGTACACTACAGTACAGAACAAAATAACACAGGTTTTTGGTTTCAAACACACAGTAGCACCTTTGGCCTGGATTTGTAGGCTTTTCCCGAGGGAGAACATCATTAATCAAACAGGGCAGGCGCTGCCTCAACCCCAAACATCTGTTTTCCCTGCCACCCTGCACATCTGTTTTCCCCGGAAGTTCTGGTGCAGTACCAAGGTCATCCACCAGGAGGCCCATATTTGACCTTGACCTTTGGCTTCCTATGACATACCAAATATCATCGAAATACATAAAGGCGTTCTGAAGTTATGCTGACTACAAATGTGCGGAAACACACACACACACACATACAAAGAAACCTGTCAAGTCCAACATGAGCTACAGCTGCGAACACAAAAAACATGACCGAAAACAGTACCTTCCCGCGCAAGGATATCACCTTGCTGCCGACCCAAGTGCTCCTTTAAACCCCCATTGCGTTCACACGCCTCCAGATTTTGTTATGTGGTAACCTCTAGTGGATAGACCGAAAAAGGGCCAAAAGTCAACCAACAACAACACCACGAACCATCGGCATATCTACAAGAAATTGAATTTATAAGTTAACCTTAAAGGATAGAAACCTCAGGAGAGTAAACTTATTGCTTACGACAAGTTGAATTTTCACCCTTGACACCTGGGTTACGCTTTTCCTTCCTACGCTTGAATGGACGGAAGATTACGTTACATAAGCCGATCTTCGTCCCTCTTTGAAAGTCTGTGGTCAGAGATTTTGTCGCTGTTATGTAACGTTTTAAGACATATTTTCACGAGTAAGCAGCTAGCCAAGCAATATTACGGAAAGGTCTTTTGAATGAAAAAAGGAAAATATTGTCCGCTGCTTTAACCTTACTAGTGTTCAGGAGCAACGAACGAGATTCGAAGGACAGTTTTCATTTTTTTATTCCAACATGTAATGACAAGACGTGGTGACGACACACTCAAGATTTTTCAACTTATATTAATGCCACTAACAACACGGGACAATACAATTCACATGAGCGAAGTGGTGTAAAGTCGTGTAAAGTGCCTTTCCCAAGGGCTCAAGATCGGTGGCATGTCAGGACTCGAACCCGGCACCTCTTGGTTCCGAGTCGAGCACACTGGCGCTACGCCACACGCCCCCACAACGCGTTTTCATTCATTCAGCCCTTACACCTACCCTAGGCTGGGTTTACGTGCGTGTGCGTCAACTTTGGTGTGCCCTACAATTCCAGTGGGATACAATCGTGCGTAGGTCCGTAAACAAGGGTCAATACGCCGAAGAAAAATGACAACAAAGTCCTGTTTCTTCACCTTAAAAGTGTAAAAGCCAGATTGGTGTGCATATGTTCATTCATCCCTGACCTTTAGATATGGTTTACGCGGTACCTTTTTGTGATTTAAGATTCCAGCGGGATAGTTACACTCGTGCGTAAGTCCATAAACAAAGCTCAGTGGACCAATGGAAAATAACAGCATAGTCCTGTTCTTCACCTTACTATGGTAAACGTTAAAGCTTGATTAGTGTGCGTATTTTCATTCATGTCAAGCCAGTTAACCTTATAAAGTGGAGC